AAAAGGGATGCAGCAGCCCTGCAAGGCACAACGTGCAGCTATTACACACTGTGGCTGAAAGGTGCAGTGTTGTTCCCTCAGGACAATGCTATCTCTTATGTACATATAATTAATATGTCTGCCAGAAACAGTTATTAAAGAAGGAACAGGAATTGTTTCTGCTCAATGGCTTGACCTGGGAGTAAAGCCAATTTAAGAAGCATCTGATTAAAATATGTTAAGGTCACAGATCACTATAAAATATGAAGCGGAGAGGAAAAAAACAGAAATTTACTCATGAGGAAGATTAAATACTACTGTTTTGGTTTTTTTTTTCTTTCTTTTATGCTAGCAGAAGCTCTCAGGTGTAAAAAATGAAAAGTGCTTATTCTGAAGAGTGGTTTTCTAGAGACATTTCAGTGTCACATTGCACTGAATCCCTGCCCCATGAGTGTCTCATGGATGATGTAAGAATACAAATACCAAGAACATTTGTAAGTTTTTATTTTTTCAACAGACAGAATGGAATCCTACAGGCAAGGAGAGAAAGTCAATATCCTTACCTCTTTTCTGGAGATAGTCTTACAGTAGTGGTAATGGGATGCAATCACAACAAGAGCTTTTATCCCTCATTAAAGCCTTTCTCAATCTTATTTCCCTCTTCCCTCAGGTGCCAGCACCACAGCCCATCCCAGAGAAAGCCTGCCTTGCATGTACAGCAATAGCCCTTAGTTTTGAGAGCTGCTCACTTAAGTGGTGTCTCTTTATTCAGGTCTAATGATAAAAAGTATGCCTGAAGTTCAATGGAAATATGAATCAAAAATACAGCCTAATTTTTAGAGGTTTTTTAGGGCTGAGCTGGTATTCATGGTTACATGGAGGCAAGAGAGAGAGAGGATGTTACAGATATATAGAATATTCCAGAATTTGTGTCTTTTCAAATGTAATAAACAATGAGAGCTGCTGAAGGTGGTTTCATTGCTCTGAGGGGTTTTGAAGGAAATGTACATTATAAAGTTTGCTGGCAAATGGGGTGCCATAATGAAAAAAAAGGGGGAGAAAAACTGCGTAAACACTTTCAAAAGGAGGTGGAGAACAGTTCAAAGATGCAAGGCTGTGTGTGGGCATTGAGGTGAGCCAGTCAGCAGCATTTTAAGGCAAGACTGGACACAGCACAGTGCCCTGGTCCCACTGACATGGTGGTGGTAGGTGATAACTTGTTCCTGATGCTCTCAGAGGTCTTTTCCAAACTACTTGATTCTGTGATTCCCTTCCCAGCACACCTGCCCAGCCAAAGGTCAGCCTGTGGCCTCAGGTCCAGCTTCAGGACCTCTGCTGCTGCTCAGGTGGCAGTGGGAATAGTTTGCCAAGCCCCTCTAGGAGTGGCCACTTCCATGGGGAATGTCCCCTCGGCAGGGCACGGGAGGTTTGTCCCAGAGGAGTCTCATTAATGCACACTCTGGGGATGTGTTATCTGTGAGCTGTGCAGGTCTGGGATTGAATTCCCTGCTCTGTAAATGCTGTGGCTTAGTGCCTCGGTGACATTTCACCCCTGGGCTGTTTTAATGAGGAGCAGAGGAAGAAAGAGAGGGAACAATCAATTGGTGGGTGCTGGTCAGCCAAGCCATGGATGTGCAATCCCCTTGCAGCGTGTGGTGATGCTCCAGCCTCGCCTGGAAAGCACAGAGAGCAGGGTGGGCAGGGCCAGGCAGTTTGCAGATGGAGTTTCTGTGACCTTGTGCAGGAGCTGGGCTCTGTCACACCTGGAGTGCTGGGGCTGGGACATCACCAGTGCAGGCTCTGCTCCAAACTCGGTGTTTACAGCTGGCACCTGGTGAGGCTGCTCTGTGTGCAGGGCGCTGCAGGACCTGAATGCTAAAATGCTCCTATTTACTAACAGATTTATGTTTTAATTTAAAATTAATTCCAATTTAAATTAATAATTTAACCCTTCGTTAGGAGCATGTTGTCATCCCAGGCTGATTAGTCAAGCTGAGGCAAAATTCACTTTGCTGTGGAAGAAACAATCACATTCCTTTAATGAGGAGCTACCACAGACTGTTATATGCATTTGTTTTCCTCTCCCTGAATTAACTTTCCCTGCTCTCTGTCTCTGAGGCACTCATCAGTTAGAGCTTAAGGAAGTTCATTTTCATACAGTAACAAGGACAACCAGAGTCCTGAAGTTCTTACTAACGAGTGACTCTGTAAAGTCATCCTGGCATCACCCTCAAATAAAAGAGACTGAAATCAGAATAAATGCAGTTTTAAAATGCTGCAGTTAGGAGTTACCACAGGAGTCACCAGAGCCAACAGGCTTGAGGAGATCTTCCTAAAAAAGCAAAACCAGCCAGCCTTGCTGTACAGTTTATATCACATTTTTAGAAACTCCCAAAGTTTCCTTTACTCACCTTTAGTGTGCTGACAGTTTTTTCTCCCTGGCCCATTGCATCTGCTTCCTCCTGCATTGTTCCCCGTTGTGAGGGAAAGAAAAAATTCTTAGTTTTTGCAAGAAATGGTTGAGAAAAAGCAACTGCTGTTCACAGCTGGTTTCCATGCTAAAATTAGAGAGTCTGTGAAGACTTCCTATGCTAATTCCTATGATTTTCTTTTTCAGCCAAAGCCGTGGTACTTGCCTCAAAATGCCAAACCTTCAGTACCTTCAGTACATGTAATCCAGTTTGTCTGACAGAGAAATTAATGCGTTTTGAAGTAACAACTTTATTTTTTCTTTCTTATATATCAGAATTTTAAAAAATAATTAGGAAAGTGTCTTAGGGTGATGTTATGGTGTTATGGAGTCGTGGGGGTTTGCTGTCTGGGGGCTCCTTCTGGAGGTTTTCCCCCAAATTTGCCCTAAACCAGGACAGAAAGGAATAATTATAAGAGCACATCAACAATATTTTTCATTGGAACCTCCAGTTCTGAGCTTCAGTTTCAAGTGTAATTGCTTTTTTGTTGTTGTTTTTTTTCCTTTGGGCTGCAGTTGTGAGTAATCTTAAATTGGTCTGACAGCCAAAGACAGAAAGTGCAAGACAGCCTGAGGGGAACACTTGAGATTGGGATGCCCTTGCTAGGGCATATTGGGACAGCAGGAATCTGACTGGCTCACCCCTCACTCTGACCATCACCACCTTTTCTTAAATGAGGTCCCTTCACTCATTTGGCATTTTCAGGGGAAAACTCCAAATGAATTTTCCCCTGAGAGATGAAAGAGACAGTGATTAATAGAGCAGTTTGTCTTCTTCACCTCTGAATCTGTGTACTTCTAATGCAAGCTTGCTTACCTACGTTAAATTCATTGTTTTATTAAAATCCTGGAGGTAGGGTCTTTCTTTTTGGTCTTTACACTAAACTAGTGTGTATATTTATTTAAAAAGTCTACTGTTTAGAATCATAAATATATCATTGTCTCGTGTGTGACTGCCCATAGATGTAAAAGTGTCCCTTCAAGCTGGTTAAGCAAAACCATCAAAGTTTAACATTTGTTTCCATGAGAAGTTTTAATGGGAGTTCTCTGTATTAATTAGGCAGAAGTGTGATATTTATTCCTTACTGTGTTTGCTTAGTTATTACTGCTGGTAAGAATGGGATTGGCATCCTTTCTTTTCTGCCTGGCTTCTTGTCTCAGGGCTGGGAACAGAGGCAGTAAAATCACTGGGGGTTCCTCTGCCAGCCACGGGGCCACCAAAGGGCTGCTTGAGGAGCCAGCTGGGGCAGCACATGGGGGGCAATGGCATTTGAGTCATCAAAGGATTCAAAAATAACAGCTAAACAAAAAAAATCCCCAAACCCAGTTGTTTCCTGCTGCATTTCCTCCTGGTGGAGGGGTGTAAGAAGGTGTAGGTTTCCTTTATCCCCTCAAGTGAAATGGGAATCCCCAAACCCCCTTGGCAGCCTTTGAGGAGAGAGGAATAGCAGAAATTCCAGCTGGCCAGGCTGTGCCAGGTCTGGCAGGTCCATGCTGGTCACACAGGGTCATTTTTAGCAATTCTGCTGTAACAGATTGTCTGCTGGGCCCATGACTCAGAGGCTCAGGCTCTGGATTGTTTCCTCAGGGCTTGCAGGAGGGACCTTGGATTAGGAGCTGTCTTTCCCAGCTGCTTTGCTGTAGCCTGGAAGTCAGAGGCAGCAGCTGCTCCAAGCTCTGCCATTTGCCAGGGCTGGGAAGTGCTGAAGGATGGCTGAGACTGGCACTTCCCTGTGAGACCCTCTGTGCAGTGGGAGGAGGCTGTCCCTAGTTCAGGTGTTTCAGAGAAGAGCAGAGCAGTCCAGAGCATTTCACTCAGGTGTTTGGCATCGGGAGCCAACCACCAAATCTGCCTTGCCCAGATGCTTGTTTAGGTTTTGGTGATAGACAATAGCAATCCCTCCCTCCTCCATCACTTAACAAAGATTCTGGGATATTTCTTCAGACCTTTTTCCCACCTCAGGCTGCCCATCTAAAGTCTTTGCTAACCCTCCAAAAATCTTTCTTATACAGGTCATGCAAGTTCCTGATAGTGCCTGAAGCAGCTCATTGACATGAGCATTCAAAAATGGAAGAGATCTTTCTCTGTTCAGGTTATTTTCTTGGTTTTGACTTGCTTACTCCTGACCTGATGAACTGAAGAGATGTAGTTTACAATCAGTATGCTGTTGTAAGAAATTGTTAGCAGCAGAGAGAGGATAAAGTTAGTTTCTTATGCAGGATAAGGCCAGTGTTTTGGTAAATTAAGCAGAAGAGAAGAAAAAGGAGTGAAGTTCTCAAAATTAAGCATAGAAAATGTTTCTTCCTAGTGGTGCAATACACTGTTTTGTTTTCCAGGCAAAATTAAATGCAAATCCGAGCTGATGCATGAACTCCATTCTACCAAGACATTTTATTTCTGTCAGCTCTGATTATGAGAAAAATCTGTAATTTTAGACCGTAAATCTGTCTGCAAACTGTGATCCACATATGGGTAGGTTCCAGGGCAGCAGTCACAAGTTAGAATCAAGATGTCCATGGAATTTAAAGCTCTATCCCTGTTCCTTTGCAGCCTGTCGAGCTGGGTTCTACAAAGCCTCTGCTGGCAATGTGAAGTGTGCCAAATGTCCCCCCCACAGCTCCACCTACGAAGATGCATCTCTGAACTGCAGGTGTGAAAAGAATTACTTTCGCTCTGAGAAAGACCCTCCATCCATGGCTTGCACCAGTGAGTAGCATCATTCTGCTCGGGGCTGTCATTCTTGCTGCTCCATCTGTACCTCCACAGCTCGCTCGCTTGCTTCTTCTCATGTCCCACTGCAGTCAGCCATCCACTCCCTCTCCTGTCTTCCCGAGTGTTGGACAGGCTGCTGGAAATTGGTGGGCTGGGTTTGAGTCTTTTCTGTTTTCGTTTTCTCCTCCTTGTACCCTGTCAGGCTCGAGAAGGAGAAATGGGATTTTTATGTTGCTACCAGTACTGTCAGCTCTCAGTCCTGAAGTGCGCCCTGAGGGGACTCTCTGTTTATAAGAAAGCATGGTTTCTTGTTAGCCTAGGTAATCTAGTGAAATATTTCAGGAGTCTCCACAGGAAACAACCAGAAGAGTTTGGTTATTAATGTTTTTCACTTTTATATTTTCTGCGCCCTTGTTACTCCCATTTCGGAGCATCCTTGGGGAGAAAAATCTCATTCCCTGATGTTCCCTTCCGCAGGACCGCCCTCTGCCCCGCGGAACGTGATCTCCAACATCAACGAGACCTCGGTCATCCTGGACTGGAGCTGGCCTCTGGACACGGGGGGCAGGAAGGATGTCACCTTCAACATCGTCTGCAGGAAATGCGGCGGTGGCGGCGGCGGCGGGGCGTGCGAGCCCTGCAGCGGCGACGTGCGGTTCCTGCCGCGGCAGAGCGGGCTCACCAACACCACGGTGACCGTGGTGGACCTGCTGGCACACACCAACTACACCTTCGAGATCGACGCCCTCAACGGCGTCTCGCACCTCAGCACGCTGCCCAGGCAGTTTGCTGCCGTCAGCATCACCACCAACCAGGCGGGTGAGTCTCCTGCTGCTGCCCCTCTGCTTTGTCCGAAGGGTTCTGGGCGTCCTGTGCTTCCTCTCCTCGATGTACAAATCCTACTCTGTGCTGGGGTCACTGGTTGATTTGGGTATTCCTGTCGCTGTTGGGGCGGGCACACAAATAGGCACGCTACATTTCAGAAGGCAAATATGCCGTTTATTTCAACAGCGTGCTGTCTTTTATACCCTCTACAAAGTTTAAACTTTGTTCGTTGGTTACAATAGATCAACATAACATTGATTGGTGCAAAACCATCTCCACCTCTGTTTTTCACAAGACTTTTCCAAAAATGCTTTTCCCAGCTGCAGGTTTTCTTTCCTGCTTATCTCCTTCTTCTCTTCTTGGCCAACAGCCTTGATAAGATTCCTTTCAGAAATCACCCTTATTCATTAACCCTCTCTGGCTCACAGACCAGCTGTGAGCCCCTCCACATATTCCTATAAAAGTAAAAGCAGGAACAAACCCAGTGTGTGTTTCTCTCAGAGAACCCTGGCAGCATGACTGTTATGATTAACTCCCAGTTCCCAGTTAATAGTCTCTAATAGCAGGCTCACATGATTCCTTATCCAGAATGTGTTTTATTAATAAAACCAGATTTTAATAAAACACTCATTTCAATAATGTCCAACATAAATTACTGTACTAATCTTAGTGATTAATTTTGACTAAATAGAAGTGAAAAAAGGCTTTGATGTTAGATGCATAAAAAAGCTAACATTAAATTAGAGAGGTTTAAAACATAGCTCTTTTTTTTTTTTTTTTTTCCTTTACATGTTGTCTCACCAACTCTGAATTATTGCCAACATGATGGGGGTGTGGAGCTGAATGCTGAATTAGCTCGTGGTGTCACAGCTGATGGGGTACAAAAGGGCTGCTCTCCTTCTGTGAGCACTTATGAAAGCCTTGGAGGCCCTGCATGGGCAGGGCAGTGTGCCCTGCCTGCTGGATCAGAGCCTTTGCCATGGCTGCACTGCTCTGCCATTTGACATGGCTCCATTCATCTGAAAGCTTGGAACAATCTAGACTCTTCCCTGGCATTTGGTTAGGTGTAAAATTTTTAGGAGCGATGTTTGCCAGTGAAGAGAGAGACTAGATGCTGAAATTTCCGTGGTGGTGCTCCATGCAGCTTCCATCAGGAGGCTTTGTACAGAAAACGTGGATGTGTTCAGTAAGCTTCCTCCCACGGCCTCCCATCCCACACCATGTCCCCAAAATACTTCCAGTTCTGTCTTCCTGAAACCACAGACATTGTTCCAAGAAGGCATCCTCCTGGTGGGCTGTGTTATTGCAATGTTTTTCACTATAGAGGCTGTATGTTTTCTCCTGAAATCACAGATCAGCTGTAGTGGGAGGTGTAAAAATGTGAGAATATTTCCTGACCCCAGTCACTGCATTTCCCAATGCTCTGGGGGGCTGTCTAATTGTGCAGTTGTCACACAGAGGTGAATCTACCCAACTCAGCTCTGGAACCTGCATTTTGTTTCCATTCAGTCTGTTACTGTTATAGTTCATTGTTTTGGATTTTAGGATCAGTGACTTGGAGCATCCTTGTTGGGTTGCCCTCTTTTCTTCTGTTTCTTCTCTCAGAGGTGTTGCCTTTCAGCCTGTTCATCACCACAGCAGTTAGAAATCACTTGAGGACAATAAAAAAAAATAAACTATCCAGAATCAGGGAAGTTCTTTCTCTGCAGAGACCTCCTGCTTTGCAGTGTGCTTCCCTAGGGCCCAGAGCTGCTCCCTTTGCACTACAAGGTGGATTTTGGTTTTGTTGTGGAGCACACAGTGCCTGGGATGTGGCAAACTCAAAGCATTTCTGGCAATAGCAGCTCTGTGCACTAACCCACAGGCTGCTTAAGCAGATTATTTTCTATTTTATGCATAACCCATTTTTTCTTTAAGTACATTTAGGTGGGTTAGTACAGGTTTAATTGTGCTATCTCTTGATCGTGCCAATTGGTTTACTGTACTAGAATTCCCTTAGAAGCTCTGCAAGTTGTTAAAATTAGACCTTAAGTATGTATATAAGCAGTCTCTTAAAGTATAATTATGAAAATATAATTTGTCTTCCATTCCCTCACTGGTCAGATACCAAAAAGGGATCTATAAGAAGCACATTTTTAGCTCTGTAAGGTCTAGAATGCTGTCCCAAGAGAGCTTTTCTGCAGCTTTATCCTTAATTTCCATGTACCATATCCAAATGGGTCTGGGCTGCTGTGAGGGGTCACAAATCCTCAAGTTTAGACCAGAGGGGCCATGGGACAGAGCAAGCAGAAGGAGCAAAATGAAAACCCTGTAGAGGGTAGATGGGAACAAGAGGGTCAAGTCTATGACCCTCTTTTTGTAAGAACATTTTCCTGGCAGCTGCTCCACATCAATCTGGATATTCTGTCTCAAAACACCAACTTTGCCTGTGTGTCTTCCTGAACTCTTACCCCTTCCATTATTTCTGATGATTCCGTGTTCATGCTTCCAGAAAAATTATTATTAACATCAAAATTTAGTGAGAATAATTAAATTTGCTGTGTTTTCCCAATCTGCTCATGCCCATCCCCAAATATTTTCCTTTTTTTCCCTTAATACCTCAGTCTTTATTGCATTGATAATAGAATAGATTGTTTTCTTTTGATCACTAAAAGCACAGCTTTAAATGGAGCTCAGTTCTTAAGGACTTAAGGCCTTTTAACCCAAGGTCTCAACAGTGCAGCTGCAAAAGGTGGTAGCAACTAAATTCAGCTGCAATAATGCAATGCCAGCACTAAACCAATTCCAAAGAGTTTTGTGCTGTCACATACCCTGGCATCAGCAGAGGAACAAAGGGGACAAAGCTTAACAAGAAACTTCTTCAAATTCTGTCCTCAGCTCTTCCACACAATTCAGGCAGGATGCAGATAGGTGCCAAAAGTAAATAAATTGGAGAGTAAAGAGGGATCTCTACAGAGGAAGCATGGAAGGTTTTTTGTGGCCTGAATTTTGGCTAGAAATGTCAATGTTTTCCTAATAACTGTAGAAAGTGAGTGTGCTTATCAAGCCTAAAAGTGCCTAACCCTGAGTTTTGGCTTCTCCACAGGTCAGTTGTGCACCTGTAAAATTTTGATTCCTTTTTGTGTCAGGGACTTTTCCTAGAGGAAGCTTAGAGAGCAGCCACCCCTGCATGCAAACTGAGGCATCTTATGCAAAGCTACATTATAAATAATAACAAAACTCCAGATCTGTCTTATATCACCTTAGACAAGCAGTAGTTTGATTATCTGGAGTCTCCTCCTTTTATCTTTTATAGTCCTAAAGGCCAGAAAGAAGAACAAGCCATGTAACTTGTTTATTCATCTTGCTTAATCATTGAACCCAGGCATGAAAAGCCATAGGAAATCAGTTTGCTTAAGGAGAAAGTAACCAATAAGGCACTACAGAGTTTTTACAAGAGGCCAGGATGAAAATTATTTTTAAAAAATAACCTTGAGAACAAAAGTAACCACTAGATAGAGAAAGGAGGATCATGAGGAGTGTTGAAGGGCAGACGTGGCTGGTTTGCAGCATCTCCATCTCCCGGTGACATTGAAAATTCCAAGCCACATGTTCATTTCAGCTTGGAGGGATAAATATTTACAATGGACAAAGAACCAGTCCACTTTTCAGTCCTGTTTTAAGTAGAGACTTCTGTGGCTCATTGGAAGCCTTGTTAAAACCTCTTCAGAACCAGAATTTTATTTGCCTGAAATCTCTGGCTTCAAGGGAGTAAGTTCAGCCCCAAGCTTTGTTTCTGTGTATGTATTTGATTATTTGCAGGTACTTTGATGCTATTTCTGTGCTCAGCCCCCACTGCACTGTCTTCAGCAGCTCACAAATGATGTGTGATGCTCCCTGTTTAAATAAAATCCATATTTAGAGAGGGTTATGTGCACTTTACAACCTATATCCCAAGGCAAGTCCCTTAAGTAGATCTGTCTTCTAAGAGAGACAATTTGAGAGAGGCACAGATGTTTGGGGGATGATATATTTCTTTCTTTCCCTATGGCCCTTATAAAAAGGACAAGAAGATAGACTTATTAAAAGTGAGCTAATGACATGATGTAGGGAGTCTCTGGTTCACTGACTGTTATTACAGCTGTGCCCCATTACGTACTGAATACCTAGGACATGCTTGTTTTCCTGAATGACATTTATCTTTTGAGTTTCAAACATTCCTGGCATAAATAAAGATTTTACGCTCTTCAAATGTGTTTTACAGTTCAGCCCAGAGGCTATTCAAGGATCATTTTAACTCAATAAAACTCCTTTAGGGATATAAAAGGGAAGTGTTTCAACAATGTCACTCCATGCATAGCCTGTTATTAGCTGGAGATGTTCTGCCTGCAAAGGCTTTGATCCCTTTCCCCTGAACATCCAAGGAAGCTCTGCCAAGGCTTCCAAGTCTGTGACACACTTTGGGCTCCTCAGTGCCTGCTCAGTCCTTGTGTGAGCTCTCCTGACCTGGCAGAAAGTTCCCAGGTGAACTTCGTGGCTCTGAGAGTTTTTCAGAGCTTTTAGTCGGCTTTTCCACAGATCACGGTGATATTTTCTTCAGCAGTCATTCAGCAGAATGGTTTTCTCTGATTGCTTCTGTTTGTCTTTCTCATTTGATGTCTTAGTTTGGTACAAAAGTAAAAATGAGGAAGTGTAGGTAAGCAGGATGCTTAGTCCTCTGTTAAATAATAAACCTTAGACTTCTGTCTCTCTCTGTTATCTGTGCTGGCATTCTCAGTAAGCACCGAGGGAAATTGTGTTCCTCTTGATTGTAAACAGAGCTATCAATTTGCTTTTTGAAGCAATTCCCTCTAGGCAATTTGCAAGCTAGGGACAGATGGGAAAAATTGTTTCTTTAGGTTTGAGGACTATTCCTGCAATGGAAATTATGAATGTAGTAAGTGTCAGCTTCTACAGCAATAAAGGTCTTCTTTTTAGCACTCCTTTTAGTAAACTGTATCTCTCTGTATATTAAA